AGTTCCAACTTCTTGCTGGCTTTGTATTTTTTTAAATCATTTTAAATAAGGCCAGGATTTTTGTAGGCTGGGTCAAATATTGTCTGGGGCTGCCCCAGGACCACCATTGTCTCAGGTACCTACAGACTGCATATATCTGAGGGCTTTCTGAGCCCAAAATTACGGAAATGAGGTGGTCCTTTATTTGCATAAAGGGGTCCTAATCAGACCCCATTGGGTGATGCCGGTGACCTCAGAAAGCGAGTGCCCCGTTCTGATTGGCCACGGGAGCCTGAGGTTTGGCCGTCACTTGTTAGGCCGGCCTGGCCTGCACTGGCTGCTGGCCTCCGGCCATGCCGTGTCGCCACCCCTGACACCGTGCCCTGTGCCTCATTCACCCCCAGCTGGCCGCCGAGGGGTGATATCCAGCACTTGGGGTGTCGACAATCTGACACCTACAAGTGAGTCACCGCTAGCTGGCCGGCAAAGCCATCGACCTTCACACACGGGAGCTGACAAGGCCTCCGACTTATCACCCCAGCCGGCTGAATGGACCCTCGAGAGTCGCGCTGAAACACCCTGCAAAAGCGTCCGGCTCTCTGGGTGTTTTCTAGTTCTCATTAGTAGGTAGGTAGGTAGGGAGAGAGGGGGAGAGGGAGAGAGAGTGTGAGTGACCCACAGAATCTGAGCACAGCGCCTATAGAATACCTGCTCAGATCCCTACACCAGCCCTAGGTCACAGCCTCGCTACTGGAAAGATCACACCTGCAGGTACTTCAGGGGTTAGCACCTGTACGTTTAACCCTGCGAAGTCCTGTTGTTTTCACTACGTTCGTCTGAGCGTTCAGTGTAACCGGGCGTATTGGAATGTGACTCGGTGTGACGTGGGGAAGAGATCGGCTGTTACCGAATCGGCCATAATTCGGGCAGGCGCCTTAACGGCACCGACAGCTCTGCTGCCGATGTTCACGTCGCCAGGGAGCGATCGGACCCTCCCTCTGTCAGCTCTTGGGCTGGTACCGAAACTTCCGCCTTGGCCTTGGGGATGCGCTGTGCCTGCGGTGCTGCTAGCGACCCAGATCCGCCGCCTTCCCGGTGCTACGTAGCCCTTGGCAGGGGTTGGGAATGTGTGTGGGGTGGTGCAGTGACCTGCCTGAGCACAGTAAGTAACTGAATGATTTCATGTTCTTCCATCTTTGGCTATGTGTTTTGTTAGATGTTTTTGCTCAGCTATTGAGCTAATAAAATACAGACCATGGAACCGTGGGTGGCTCGGCTGTTTGCTCCCCAGATGTCAGGGCTCCGGAGGAGACTCTGACCCCACCGAGGGCTGGTCCCTAGAACTGCCCCAGCCTCCCCCAGTGACGGGCACCAGACCTGGCAGCTGCCGGCTGTGAGGGAAAGTTGACCTGTGCCATGATCATTTATTTCCCTCAGCAACGTGGATCCAGAGCGTTGGGGGCCCGGGGTGGTGGATACCAGCCGGTCAAGCTGAGGCCAACCAGTCCCCCCTGAATCAGTCTGTGCTCCTCACACCGCCACCCCCTTGGTTAGTCACTGGCCTGTGCTCTGAGGCTAGGGGATTTATATCTGTTATATCTTTGAATCCCAGTGTACAGCTCGTTGTTCTGAGTATGCCTGTGGCCTTCCACTGGTTAGAGTGCTAGCCTGGGAGACCTGGCTCTGACACACATTTCCTGCGTGACCCTAGTCTCTTTGGGCCTCAGTTTCCCCATCAGGATAATAGCCTTTCTCTGCTGACAAGGGGGCATGAAGATAAAAGGATTGTGAAGTGCTCAGACATTGCAGCATTCGATAGAAATGTTCCAACTGGTTTGGTGTCCTTCTTAGCTCTTGCCTATTGTATCATGTGGCAGGGAGTTCCACAGGATAATCCATTATACTGTCTCAGTTTTTAAAATCCTAGACTAGACTGCAGTGGCAAAGTAGAATTGTTGCAGAACTCCAGGCACCACGTTTTATGGCTGCAGAGTTCTCCAGACAGGAAAGCATGGTGTCCCTCGCCTCCTTGCGTCAGATCTAGGGTTGCCAAGTTTGGCTGGACATATTCCTGGAGGTTTCATCTCTACTGAAAGATCAATCTTTAATTTCTGGAGACTCCAGGAGAATCCTGGAGGGTTGGCAATCCTAGTCAGATCCATACACCCCTGTGGCTTGGTATCCCCTCCACCCCCCCAATATGGCCCGGCCCAGCCCAGCCCAACAAGCCCATCTGACCAGGCCCTATAAACTTGGGCTATTTGGCCCCCGCAGCGGAGGTCACAGGGTCACGCTCCTTCAGCCCTCGTGACCGGCTCCAACCGGGCGCCCGGTGATTTCTCGGAAACCAGACGAGATCCCGGCAGGGGGGGAAGTGGGCACTGGAGCCTTGTGCCGCGAGCCGCCGCACGGCTCCGCCCCCCCCCCCGGCAGCCAGCTAATGGGGAGCGACGGAGGCGGGATTCTAGCAGGAAAGGGGCGGGCCCCTCCAATGAAGAGCCGAAGGGGTGTGGCCTAGCTGCTCTAAGAGGCGGGTCTTGCCTCACTCCTACCAATCGGACAACTAGGGGCGTGTCCCCTCTCTACCAATGGGGAGAGAGGGTGGAGATTCGAATGGCGCCTGGAGGGGGCGGCAGCGGGGCGGGCGGACGCAGGCGACTCAACCGGCCGGGGGCAAAGAGCGGAGGGAGGGGCCGTAAGCAGGGCCCGATCCCCACTGATCCCAACGCCCACAGGGGTTGTGCTGCAGCCCGGGTCAAATTGCCCAGGGCCCAGAGCCACTCCCG